CCTGGGAATGGCTCGTATCGGCCTTTTTTCATTCTTAGTTTGACAATTTCACGAGCCTTTACTATTCATTCATTCACATTTTTATGTTTATTAAGAGGATTGTCTCTCCAAAATTCATAAAAGAAGGTGCCCTTATAAAATTATTGTCTCCACCATCAACAGTCCTTTACATCACTTAACTATTTTTTTGTATAAAATTATTTTCAAAAGTATTCCTAACTCACCGTTGTTCATGAAAAACAGCTTTCAATTGAACATGCAGTTACAGGAATCGAGTTGAATAGCGATTACATTTTTTGTTCTCTTGATGTGATGTCTTTGTTTACCAATGTTCCGATAGATCTTGCTATTGAAAGTATTTCCTCAAGATGGAAATACATCAAATTACACACAAGAATCATCAGGGAAGAGTTCATATTGGCAGTACAATTTATATTGACATCTTCTTATTTTACTTTTAATGACAAGATTTATAAACAGACTTTTGGCACCCCGATGAATTCCTCTTTATCACCAATCATTGATGATATAGTTTTACAAGACCTGGAACTTAAAGCATTAGATAAATTAAAGTTTGACATCCCCTTCTATTTTAGATATGTTGACGATGTTGTACTGTCAATACCTAATGATCAAATAGATTTTGTTTTGCGTACTTTCAATTCGTTTCATGATAGAATACATGTTACTTGTGAATTACAAAAGAATAAGTTTCTCAGTTTTCTTGATGTTAAAATCATAAATGATAATAATAAGTTGATTTGTGATTGGTTTCACAAACCAACATATTCAGGACGATATTTAAATTATCATTCACTGAATCCCCTCAGTCATAAAATAGGTACTATATACTCACTAGTAGATAGAGCCATTTTACTCTCAGATCTACAATTTTACAATAAAAATTTAATTTTTACAATTCACATCTTATTAGATAACAACTATCCAATACGGTTAATTTTTAACACTATTAATAGAAGATTGAGGACTTTGTTCACAAGTAAATTAAACAAACACTGTATACCCTAATAAGCACATTTGTGAAAATATTGCACAAAAATGACATCATGAATGGCAACTATTTTGCAATGATTGTACTACCAAATGATTCGCTATAACGCAACAGTTTTGTCAAAATAAAATTTTGTAAATAATATTTGTCAAAAATTGCGAAAAAGTCATTATGCATTTCCACAGTATATACCTCCAATAGGCAAATTGAAAATATTGCACAAATATGACATCATGAGTGACGACGATTTCTTGCATTTCTTCATATACAATCATATTTCTACATATTTGAAACATCACATAGCTGAATTTCTTTTCTCAATTATTGGACAATTTCTTTGTAAAATTAATTTTGCAAATATACTGCTAAGATGATTCGCCATATCGTTATTCTTTTGCCGAAATATTTGGAAAGTAATTTTGCAAACAACTACAAATATTTCAGAAAAGATCAATGTTTTTGCATCTATTTCCTAAAAGATGTCTGTATAATTGCAAATTACAATTTTAGTGTAAGATTTTGTCACATAATTTTGTAAATGGTTTCCTATCAGGGTAAGTACAATACAAGATAAAGATAAGTATTCTAAATTCTTTTTTTTTTGTGTTCTCCCATACATTCATAATTACAATACTAAGTTTAACCACATAAAGTAATAATAAAATCATTAAACCACTTCCGGTGGCGCTTTTCGAGCGGGAACACGTCTTCCCGCGCCCTTCTGCTTTTCCGAAGATTTCTGGTGCTTTTCGGTGGTTTTTTTCATGGCTTCTCTCTTTACTTTTCCCTTTCTGGGATCTTCTGTCGCTCCCAAGAGTGGCTTTGTGTACTGCCTGTGATCGAAATCGGGTGTGAGACACAACTCTGTCGCTTCATAACCTTTCGACTGCCTCCCGGCCGGATGGCGGGCTTCCACCTTCCCCGGCGTATGAGAAAATAGGCAGTGATTTACGCCTGTTTCTCATGGATAAGTCTTTTTCCTCGAGGCCGAGGACGACCTCTCCGTCCTCGGACACCGAAATGGACGTCTCATCTGCTGTAAATCTGAAAAGACCTCACCCGTCTACGGATGAAGAAACCTCACGCAGTGGACACTCTGCGATGACAAAGAACAGGAAAGGTTAAAAAAAAACCGGTCCCTGAGGCGTCGTGCTTCCTGCCAGATCCCGATAATTTCGCTGTAAGAGACGGGAAAGAAGGTAAGGACACCTTTCCCACTCAGCCCATTGAGTCGTCGGTTGAAGTTGAGAAGGTTCTTGACCGCCCATCGGCATCAATACCTCGCCCGAAGGTAAAAGAGGTAAACTCTATCACAGTAAGGCCCAGTTTTACAATCTTTGGTTAAGTATATGAGTTAGATTACCATTACTCAATGGTTAACTGAAGGTTATCTAAAGAACGCGTTCTATACATTATTTTATGATGATGGTAAACTAACTATTGGTTTTTCATTATTTTTTGGAAGTTGGTATAACCTGATTGCGGTATTTGATATAGGCTGTGACTGCCAAGATCGAAAATCTATAGTTACGTAACCTATAGATAAGTGAATATCGGAATGTAAAATCGCAGTTGAATTGCTGTTATTTATTTAGGTTATATTTTAATAAGTGCTGTGAGCTCCAAAGTAGATAGTTGTATAAATAGTGAGCTGTGTAAAGTAAGTANAGTTATACTTTATAAGTATTAATTAATTCAGTTTTACTTAATAATTTCACTTAATAATTGTGTAGGAATGGCAAAGAAACGTCAAAATAATTTTGTAATAGAANAGGAAAAGCTTCTCATTTCTTTAGTTCAACATCACAAACATATAATTGAGTCGAAAAAAACAGGAAACACAAGTTGGACTGACAAAAAATTAGCATGGGAATCAATTGAAAAGCAATTTAATAGCCAAAGTCAGAGAAATGTTTACAGAAGTGCGGAAAATTTAAAAGAAAAATACAATAATCTAAAAAAGAAAACAAAAAAGAAATACAGTGAGGATAAGATGAATATTTTGAAGACAGGAGGTGGTTCTTATGTTTCCCCTGAGTTAAATGAAGTAGATAAAGCCATCTATGACATAATTGGGCCTCAAATAGATGGGTTAAAAAACAACTATGATGATGACCAAGATAATGTTTTAAATTGTTTAAACAAGCAGTGGTACTGAAGGTAAGTAATCAAAATACATTATTTATGTAGTTGTAAATTGCAATGAATATTTGCGTGAAGTGCGAAAAATAGTAAATACTTTTCTCAACAAGTAAATATATTAAAGAATGAGCTTTAAACGATCTTAACTTCTGCAAAAAATAAAGTGGAAAACATTTGTCTTAGATAAAATATGTATATTTTTATAATTATTTTTAGAAGTACACAATAGAGAGAGAAAAAAAGATATTTTGATTATGGATATTGTTTTACCTTCTGTTACATCTCAAAATGAAGAAATCCAACGTGAGTAACATAAGTTTTAGAACTAAATCTTATTGCAGCATCTCTACAGAAAAAGTTATCTAACACGTTCGTTGCGGCAACGCAATCGCACGGCCCTGATAACCGATAATATACTGAATTGAAACTAACACAGTCAATGTATCAAGTGTTATATTTTTTTAGGTCTAAACAAGGATATTAAAACAAATGATAAAATNATTATTGAAAGTCTTATAGATGATAATAGTTTGCCTAGAAATGAAGAAATAATTGATGAAAATTGTAATGAAGACAACACCTGGAGCACTTATACAAAAAAGAATCTAAAAAGACCAATATCTGAACAATTAAAAGTTAAAAAAAAAGCAACAAGTATGTTTATCATGTTTTCCACAAATAACTTTACAAAAGTCGTAGTTACAACAAAATAATTTTTTGCATTTGAATTTTGTAAATGAATAAGATATAAATATAATTTGATGTTTTTTTTCAGAAAAAGTTCTATTTAATAATTCAAGAATAAAAAAACAGTATGTTCCACTGTCTCATGAATTGGCTGACGCTAAATTACAGTTCGTCAAAGAACAGCACTGCAAATTTTTAGAAGAACACGATTTAAAAATGCAAATTTTGAAAAAAAAATTAGAAATAAAAATTAAAAAATGTAGAATACTTGGCATTCATAATGAAGAAAATGAAAGAACATAAATATTTTAAAAATATATAATTGCCAAATGAGCTGTGCTAGTTTAAGATGTTACTTAACTCGGCAAATTTACCATATTGCGCATTTATTTGACTTAACTTGCATTAGAAATCGATTTTATAATTTTTTGTTACTGCCTTTTATTCGATAATTTTATTTTTTTGCGTTTTTCATAATTATTTCTTTTTTTCAAAGGCGGAAGTTTTTGCTGGTATCAAACAATACCGCACGAATTTGCTGAGTTAATATTTAAAAAGTACAAATTATTTTAAAGTAAGCTTAGTAGAGTGATATCTAATATTGTGATACTGAAATATTGAAAGTATTATTTTATTATTTCTTTTGTTAGTGTTTATTTCATTACTTTANTTTTTGTTATTTTTGAATAAAAATACTTCTATAATTACAGAATACATTTTTTTAAATAATATCTCTAAAAATATATAAGTTTTCATGTACTTGAAACTACAAATAAATAATAAAACTCATTAAAATAAAATAAATTATTTTATTATCTCTTTAATTTACAATCTGCTGAAATAATTATTAANTAACCCATCACGAATTATACTATTAATATTATTTCTTTGCTGTGGTAGTTGCTCATTATCGACATCATTGACAAAGTTTATGGCCGCTTCCTCTTCATCAGTTACTGGCGGAATTATTTCATTTTCTTCACAAGCAATATTATGCAATACGCCGGTTGCTACAATAATTGCTTGTGCAGTATCTATAGATGTTCTTATTCCCATTGCCAGTGCAGGGAAACGTCGCTTCCATACACCATACTGTCTTTCAACCACATTTCTTGTTCTTATTTGCGATTCATTGAATAATATTTCGCCATGAGTTCTGGGGTTAAGTAATGGTGTGATTAGGTACTGCCTAACGCCATAACCACTGTCCCCCACTATGAGACTATCAGAGTAGTTTCCTCGTTCAAAGGATCTATATAACATAGAATTTCTGAATATATGAGAGTCATGGGCTGATCCTGGCCATCTTGCTACAATACTGCATATTTTTAAACGTGGATCAGCTAATGTTTGTACATTCAACGAAAAAAATTGCTTCCTGTTGCGAAATAATTCACCTTGATCACCTCCAGGAGATTGAACCTTAACATGGGTGCAGTCTAAAGCACCTATGCATCTGGGAAACCGTGCAATGTTATAAAAGCTCTGTCTCATTTCAGAAATTTCTTCATCCGTTGATGGCATATTTATATACTGTGGTTTTAGACTTGCAAGTGCCACACTCACTCGCCTCACTGTAATACTGGCTGTTGATTTACTTACTCCCAAAAAATCGCCAGTACACCGCAAAAATGATCCATTGGCATAAAAATTTAAAGTAAGCAGCAGCTGCTGACTAGCAGAGAGACAATCATTTCTGTAATAAAATAATGTCATTAGAATTGGCCTACAAGACGTCAAAATTATTAAATAAAATTTACAAAATTGTTANATGAATACATATTATTTTATAAGTGCACTTACCTATGTGTAGGATGAGAAATAATGTCTTCAATTTCATTCAATACATTTTCAGTTGTTCTTTTGGACAACCGAAACCTCACAAAAAAATCATGTCCATCGTACTCTTCAAAATAATTCGGTCGATGCCTAATTATTTTTGGCCTTCTTATTTCTTCATCACTACTGTAAGCATTGACGTCGTAATCCATAATTTAGGTTATATTGAGGTAAAAGCGTAACGTCTAGTTAACCTATGCATTGGGCATAGGTTAAATTAACTGTGAATTAACCAAGACGCTTGATGATAACCATCAATTGTAAAACATCGATACTGACTTAATCTTTGGTTAAATTATAACTTCTAGATAACCAAAGATTGTAAAACCGGGCCTAAGAGAAAACCTGCCTCAAAAATACGGAGCTTATACTCAGGCTCCCTACATAGTCTATTTTTGCATGCAGACCTCTGTGCAAAAGAAGAAAAACGTTTCACTGATTACTGTATCCAGGAAACTTACTGCAGCTAACCTCAAGTTCACAAGTGTTCGTAGATACTCGTAGTACGTAGTTCGTAGATACGTAGAACACGTGGACAGTGACCTTTCCATCAAAAGCAGCAGCTAACGCCTCTCTGACAAATCTTTTGGCGAAGAAAGCCGGGTTGAATATCCCTTACATCCCTGGCTATAAGCTCAGTAGGAAAATTATCGTGAGAGATATCCCTCTGGATATGCCCTTGAGCGAACTAAAGGACTTCATAGAAGATGAAAATTCTAATGTAATGTTGTTGAAACTGTTCCGGTTGAGAAGACGAGACAGGTCCACAAGGGAATGGGTGGACTCGGAATCTGTGTGCCTGGAAATAGCAGGTGAAAAGATGCCAGAGATGCTGAAGATTCTTCATACAGTAAACCCAGTTCAACCCTACGTTCCGTCGGTCCGAATGTGCTTCAACTGCGGACGTTTTGGCCATCTCAGCAAATTTTGTGAAGGCGACCTCCGATGTCTGACTTGTTCAGGCAATCACAAAAGCAATAAAGATAGCCCTTGCCCTAACCCTAAGGCATGTGTCAACTGTAATGGGGCGCATGCAACCTTGGACCGGGCTTGCTTTATGTACAAACGTCAAATAGAAATTTCCAAGATCATGGCTTTTGACAACCTTCCATTTTTTGAAGCCCGAGCAGCAGTTCTCCGTAATGAGGGAAGTGGCAACGTTCCGACTCCATTAAAGACCTTGAAAAATTTCCTCCCCCCTCCCTAGTCGGGGAGGAATTACAATGGTGAACTCACCGGTGGCCACCGGCTGTACCAGCTCTTACGCATAGATGTGGCCCCCTGGATCCCGATTCTGTGGAGAGGAGGTCAAAGAACAAATACTTCGACTGGTGGACCAAATATTGAAATCAGACAATGTAGACACTTTACTTAAGAGATTAGGTATTACCCTTAACCTTCATTCCAAGTTAGATAAATCTACAGACTAAATTTTGATACAGATTAGTAATTTTTCACTAGCTACTCAGTTACTGTATACAATGCTTAATTATAAAGATAAGAAGCTTAAGTGCGATCCCTTCGGCCTGGTACATTGGAATGCGAAGTCCGTTTTACCTTGTTGAACTTGCTCACCACTGTAGATATTGTGACGGGGCGAACCCCGTCACGAATACATACATATCCCGCTTATTATTTTCTTTGTATATATCTTTTTGTATAATTTTGTGTTATCTTGTTTATGTTATTATATTCTTTATATCTTTATATCTTTATATCTTTTGTATAATTTTGGGTTATTTTGTTTATGTTATTATATTCTTTACATGTACTATTATATATATTAAACACATCTCGCATAGTATACCCCGCGCTATAGTTTCTGCGACCCACCTATACGAGCGACCGCGTACTATAATACTGACGACGCGCCTATAGCGACACGGAGCAAACACGCGATTATCAGCCGACAGGTGCATGCCGCGGCGCGCAAACACCCGCGTTCCACACGCCGACCCCGGACGGACCGTAGGCCGCTCTGGGGTATAAAAGCCGGCCGATCTGAGCAGTAAGGACCCATTTCTTTCCCGGCGCTCGAGGAGCTGACTCGAAAGCCATTCCTATTCCGCTACCGCTCTCCGAGGAGTTGACTCGGATATACCGTTTCCGATCCCGAGGTGTTGACTCGGGATACCGACTTCCGGCAATCCGAGGTGCTGACTCGGCCGCCAAACCGATTCCCGTCGAGAGATTCTCGACTTCCGGCGCTCCGGCACACAAACGGCCGTTGTAACCGCCACATCGGAAAACAGTCGTTTTCACGACTAACTTGTATATAAGGCCCATGTAAATACCTTCCCCGAATTAGGATTAAGTAATTACCGCGCCCGCCGCACCGAAATCTATCGATCGCGCCTATTGAAACAGCGCATAAATTTCCGACAAAAATGCCGCCGACCGTACTAAACTAATAGATCGACACCGCGGAATCAAACTCTTTGTAAATCTATTTAGTTGAATAAACATCACGCATCGGCAAGAACTCCGCCGTAAATTAGATCGTACTCAACCGACACCGCGGAATTAAACTCTTTGTAAATATATTTAGTTAAATAAATATCACGTACATTACAGCATAAAAACCGGATTAAGTGTCGCAATTTCTCGCCTTCCCCTTCCCCGAACCTTGGCACCGACCGAGCTGTCCGGCAGGCGAAAGGCCGGGCGAAGCCGAAGAAATCGGCTCCGTTACAATATTATAATTTTGTTCTTATTTCAGAAACATGGCTTACTCCTGCAAACTCATTCATTGTAAAGGGCTTCGACACGGTAAGGGAGGATAGAACCGACCGTCCCGGCGGGGGAGTCCTGGTGTTAGTAAACCAATCTATTAAGTATCAGCGGATCCCCGATGTATATAACTGTGCAGGTAAATTTTAAAATAAAAGCTTGCGCGGTGGAGGTGTTTGTGCGGAACGAACCGTTGGTTTTGGTGGCGTGCTACTGCCCCCCTAACTCGTGTCTGTTGACGAATGGCGTAGTTTTTTTTCGCAGTTTGGTACGAGAAAAGTGCTTTTCGGCGGGGACTTCAACGCCCATTATAGGGGCTTGGGATCCCCGCGTTCGTGTCCTGTGAGAGAAAACCTGTGGGATGCGTACCAGGACTCAGATTTAGTTTTGCTGCGAACGATGATTCCCCGACCTATTTTAGCGATTCCTACCGATCTTTTTCAGCCTTAGATTTGACTTTTGTTCATAGTTCTGTGGCCCCTCGCTTGTTATGGAAGGTGTGTGACGATTCGTGGGGCAGCGACCACTTTCCGGTCTTGATATCATCTGGGTTGCGTCCCGACACCCCGTTACCGGTGAGACGCAGTGCCAGGTTGTATTCCGTCCAAACAGACTGGAAGACCTTTCAAGATTCCGTGGATGCTGGTGTCAAATCCATGTCGTCTGCGGTAGAAAATGTCGAGGTTTACTATAATACTTTCGTGGCTTTGGTGACGGATGCTTTGACGACCGCGACCCCCGGCAAGTTTCCCCCGGGGGTTTCGCCCCCCCATTCGGCGCCCACCTTGTTTGTGGTGGTCGCCGGAATGCGACAAATATCTCCGTCTGCGCAAGGCAGCTCTGGAACGCTTTCGACTTTCAGGCTCGTTTGAGGATTTTCTTTGTTACAAACGACAAGTTGCACAAACTCGTAAGGTTCTGCGGGAAGCTAAAATGATCAGCTTTCGTAAGTTTTGTTCAGGTCTTCGTAAAGACTCCAACCCCTCTCATATCTGGAATGTAATGAAACGCTTTGAATACAGATGGAATCGTACCGAAACAGACAAAGCATACACCGAAGACAAAGTTGATCGTGTTAAGTCTCAAGTGGACTCTCTTTGTCCACCATGGACAAAGAGAGCCGACACCCCCCCTTCCTTCGAGTATGAGTGTGCAGACGATTTCCTCGACAAGCTTTTCTCACCGGAAGAGCTTGACTTAGCCCTGGATGGTGTCAATATCAAATCCAGCCCCGGACTGGATGGTATCGACTATCTAGTAATCAAAAACCTACCATCTCTAGCTAGGGTCGCCCTGTTGAATTTGTACAACGCAATTTTTCGAAGTGGCTGCTTTCCTGGAGAATGGCGTAAATTTCTGGTTTTCTTCATTCCGAAATCGGACGGACTGAAGTTCCGTCCCATTTCTCTGGCTGCCTGCCTTTGCAAGACGATAGAAAGGATGATTGCAAATTGTTTAAACTGGTGGCTGAAGTTCCACCACAAACTCCCTGCTTCCCAGTTCGACTTTCGAACAAAACAACGATCATGTATAGACAATCTTACCCTCCTGTACGGTGAAATTATCAAAAGCTTTCAACAAAACGGGGTAGTCTCCGGCCTTCCTAGATGTGCAGTCAGCCTACGACAATGTGCTCGCAGATATTCTTCACGAAAAAATGGTTACACTGGGAGTTCCCGCCAAAACAGCAAAGTTTATCTTCAATTTAGTCTCCGAGCGACAAATTACTTGCCGTTTTGGAGATTATAAAAAAATCAGATGGGTCTTTAGAGGCCTTCCACAGGGATGCGTTCTTAGCCCTCTTCTCTATACAATATACGTGATGAAACTCGACAGTGTTCGCTCCCCTGGTTGTAAAGTCTTACAGTATGCAAATGACGTATGCCTTTACGCATCCACGACTGTAGTGGACAAAGGTTTAAAAATTTTGGAAAAGTCAATTAACAACGTTATCACGACCTTGGACCCTCTGAATCTTCACCTCTCAGCTACAAAAACTCAGTTATGCGCCTTCAGCAGGAGAGATAACAAAGTAATGGGATCTCTCCACTCCGGCGGTAGGTGTCTTCGCCGACGTCGGACTCTGTGGGTTACGGTGGCAGGTGTTAGAGTCTTTGCTGCCTCTAAAGTCAAGTTTCTGGGCATGACTTTCCAGTCGAACCTGGATTAGAAATCTCACATCCTCCAGGTAGAAAAGCGATGTGTAAATTCCCTACGCTTAAGTGCCTCGGCAGAACGTGGTGGGGTGGGGACCCCCGTTTGTTGTTAAGACTTTATGGGGCCTTAGTAAGATCCAGACTGGAGTATGGTGGCTTTCTCTTTCAAGATTTGTCACGCAGCTTAAGCTCTAAACTAGATAAGTTGCAGATGCGCGCGTTAAGAGTTGTTATGGACTATAGAAATTCTACTCCCTTAAATGTTATCTTAGGGGAGGCGCGGGAGCCCCCCCTGTTTGCTAGGTTTCGCTTTTTGTGCCTTAACTTTTTGTCGCGTGTGGCTACCATGACGAATCACCCGTTGTGGGACCTCCTGGAAGGTATTCAGTCCTTGTTATCGAAAGATCCTTCCGCGAGTAGGCTCGTTTCCCCTGGTGGTGGCGTTCGTCGAGGTGAAGCGGTGGGCTCGCTCCTTGTACTCAGCTAGTGTTCCGGTTTGCTTCTCGTATGGCTTTGAACTTCTGCTTGCACGAGTAC